ATTTTTTTTTAAAAAAAGAACCATATAGTATTAATGGTAACGGAAGAAGTCAAAGCTGCACCGAAGGTATTGGCAAAGAATAAGGCCCCAGGAAATGATGGACTGCTAATTGAGTTGCTTCAGGAACTCAACTCAGACGCTTACCGTTCTCTGCCAACAAATAGGGAAGATAGTTCCTTGGCCAACTGATTGGAACTGTATTCCTGTTCCCCAAGAAGGTAATCTTAACAGGCTAGAAACCATTGAACACTATCGTTACATGCAAGTAAAATAATTCTGAAGAGTATTTAAAAATTCTCAAACAGTAGTACATCAACAGGTTACTGACATTCAAACTGGATTCAGAAAAAGCCATGGTACAAGGGATATCATTGCTGATGTCAGGTGGATCTTGAATGACAATGATATCAGAAAGGTGTTACTTTTGTCTTATTTTCTATGCAAGGGCATTTGATTGATCATAACAAATTATGTCAAACATTGAGAAGAAAGGGAATCCCAGAACACTTAATTTAGCTCATGAGAAACCTATACCTAGATGAAGAAGCTGTTGTCTGACTAGTGCAAGGGAGCACTGCATTGTTTAAAATCAAGAAAGATGTGTGTTAGGATTGTATCCTTTCTCCATACCTATTTATTCTGAGAACATCATTTTAGAAATTCAACTGTATAAAAAAGAATGTGGCTTCCAGAATCAGGTAAGGTTCCTCCAACCCTGTCATGCAAATAATCTTATTTGTAGAAAGTGAAGATGACTCACTTCAGAAGATCAAAGAATACAGCATTCAGATTGGGTTACATCAAGAAAACAAATCCTCACCAGTGGACCAATAGGCAATTTCATGACACTTGGAGGAAAGCTTGAAGTTGTTAACAATTTCATTTTATTTAGATTCACAGTCAACATCCATGGCAGCAGAAGTCAAGAAATCAAAACAAGTTGCATTTGGAAAAGCTGCCAAAGACCCCCGCAGTGCTAAAGAGCAGCTGTTAGTTTAAAGGTTAAGGTGCTCATAAGTCGTGGACTCAGTTCAGTTGTGCACGCCCCAAAATATGTCAGTTTGGCTAGGTTTTAATGTATGATGATAGGTAATTTTTTGTGATGTATAAAGGTCTCAAGTGAGGAGTACTTGAAACACTTGATGCAGAAGATCAAAGATGACAGCCCTCAATGTAGATTACATCTCAACATCAAAGAAGACAAAAATCCTCACTGCCAGACCAATAAGCAACAACATGAGAAATTGCCAATTATTTCATCTTATGTGGATCTGCAATCAACACCTTTGGTATTAGCAGTCAGGATATTAGGAGACATTGTACTGAGGAAGTCTGTTGTCAGGGACTTCTCCGAAATACTGAGGAGCAATGATGTTAGTTTGAAGACTTAAGGTGTGTCTGATTGAGGCCATAGTGTTTTCCATCACTTGCTATTCCTCTGATTGCTGAACAGTGAATAAGAATAACAAAAGAAGCGATACCTTGAAATTGTGGTTTTGGAGAAAAGGACTGAACAACAGTAGGTAAAAAGAGTATGTCTTAGGTGCAGCCAGAAGGCTCCTGGGAAGCAAGGATGGTAAAGTTGTGCCTGTCTTCGGGCATGTTGCTAGGAGAGACTAATCTTTGAAAAGGGACATTGTGCTTAGAAAGGTGGAAGGTCAATAAAAAAGGGGAAGACCCTCAATGAGATGAACTGACACAGTGATTACAGCAGAGTGCTCAAGTGTATCCGAGATAGTGAGGAGGGCACAGGATAGCACCAAGTTCACATCTGTTTACAGGAGTATGTGTCTTACCACATCTAACAACAACAACTGTGTGCCTTTTTGTGTTTTCTAAATCTCACCACCTGATTATTGAGGCAGGATTTTTACTCAGGTCTCAACCCTGATTTATAGAAGGAAATTTTTTTGGGGTGTGGCCTGCATTGCTGTTTATCTTAGTGATGGAAGGAGAGAACTGAGCAGAAAGGAAGAACTGGGAGTAGAGCACATTTTTTGGACCTTAAGATCCCTCCACTGAGAAGCTCCTAGTCTTTGGGGGAAATAAATGTCAAGATTTCCAAGATACTGGAAATCTCCAAGAACACTGGACCTACAGATGTTAAAAGGAAACAGTCTTTTCTTCTAAGTTGAGCCAACAGACAGAAAGCCTTTCGTTTCCTGAATGTAGACTACTAGCCTGCTTAACTATGGGAGAATAAATTTAGGTTTGTGGTATTCCTGTTACAGAAACACTTGTTAAGTAAGACATAAAATTAAGCAGGTAAGTAGAGCCCTCTAGTGCTTCTGCTATATATTTACATGGTCAACTTTTGTGTATCTCTTTTAAGTTTTTACTGATTTTAACAAATTTACTCTCCAGAAGAATCACATTTTCTTATGTTACCTAATAAAGCATGGAAAAGAAGTGGCAGTCTCATAATTCTAATATATGCTTGTTTAAAATTATAACAACATGAGGATATTAGAATTATCTTGCATTTTATTAGATCTAAATTCAGATACTTTGCTAATACGTGTTATGATTATCATAATATTATTTACTTTTGTGCATAGAAAAAAACAAAAACCACTGCCATTAAGTCAATTCTGACTGATCACAACCCTCCATCAAGTTTCTGATCCTGTAAATCTTTACAGCAAAAGACTGCTCTGCTTTTCCCCGTGGAACAGCTTGTGAATGCAGCACCTGCGTGTCAAGGTGTGGGTAAATGAACTGAGGTGGATGGTGGCATCATGGCATGTTCCTGCTGTGAAATATTACTAATGGGTGAAAAAACCTTCAAGCTCATTGCCATAGAGTCAGAACCTGCTCATAATATCTCCAGTGGGCTTTCAGAGGCTGTAAGAGGAGGAGATTACTATCCATCTTTTTCTAGTGCGCTTTCTGGTAGATTTGAACTGCACCATTTGGGTTGGCAGCACAGCACCTTACCCACCAGGCCACCTGAGTTCTCTATTAGTAAGTTATATCTGTGTATTAGTGAAATAGCTTGAGGGGACAGCAAGTTATAAAATGATTCTGTACATGTGTATATATTTACAGTTTTAACTGAAAGAAAAAAAAGGGGAGAACTTAAAACCCCTACTTAAATATATATTTATGTAAACAAAGGAAATCATAAGAAGGAAAATTAACAGTATTGAGTTTAACAGTGAGGAGGGGAAGAATGGGAGGGGAAAGACCTTTTTATTTACCTTTAATTATTTAAATTTTAAGGGAGAATTGCAATGGAAAAACTTGAAAAGATCAGCAAAATGGGAAATTATAATCTGCGTAGTTTTCAGACTGATTGGCTGAGAATTTTAGAATTGAGTACAAATAGAAATTAGCTGAACCAAATCAGTTCCTGCACTGCTTTTCTGAATTTGTTTATTGTTTAAATGGGGGTGTTTCTGCTTGATAATCTCCTTAGATATGGCTGATGCTCAGTTTAGTGGAGCTTAGTATTTCTCTGTGTTTTTCTAATAAGCTTTTCCCTTGTGCTGGGAATGAAAATGCTTCTCCTTGTTAATCCAATTAAATCTATTAAAGGAGGGGCCTCTATGAAAAGGCCCTTCTTTGAAGTCTTGGGAGTTGATTGGTCCCAAATATTTTTCCTCATCACACCTTAAAACATAGTTATTGAAGATTTATTATGAAGCCTGTCTCCATATCTTCCTTTCAAAATGCTAAGGTATAATTTGAGCAACAGTTCAGACTCTAAAAATGAAGATGGCTCAGTCTTTTCACAGACGGAACATAATATTGTTGCAGCATACTTGATTATGGCAGGTATGACTGTTTAAATTACTCTGTTATCAGTTAAATTTTGCTTTAGAATGGGAGAAGAAAGTGTCAGCATATGCAAGTAGGAAGAATGGATTTCAGAGCCTGGGTTCACAGTGTTTCAAGCTACGTATTGTTGGTCAACTACAATTAGTCACTTAACTTTTTCTGCATTGGTTTGCTTCAATGGTGAGTGAGGAAGTTACTGTTTACTATGTCTGCTTCCAGGATACATAGGTCAAATAAAGTGTATAGGTGAAAAATGAAAGCATTGCCAATGTCATAGACTATGTGCAATCTTGATAATGTGAAAGCAGTAAAATGGAGTTGAGAAACATTATAAAATGAATTTTTATGTTCATCTATATATTTAGTAATTGTGTTTTCAAATCAAGTTTTTGTT